AAATCAAACTGCTTATGGTTGTCGTCAACTCAGTTTGAGCACATTGAATATAAAATTCTTTTCACGCTGAATAATCTTTGTGGAGGATATTTGCTTTTGCTAGGTGGCATTTGAACTTGCTACAATGTATTGTGTGGTTACATTTGGATTTGCTATTTGCACATTTGAATTTGTTAAGCACAATTGTGCACTAAAATTTTCTATTGTACATTTGAACTTTTTATGTGGCGTGAAACTTTCTATGTGGCATTTGAACTTGCTATGTGGCATTTGACATTTGTATTTCTTATGTGTACATTTGATCTGGGGAAAAAAAACTATACAAGTACAAAGGCTTTGTACATTAGCTTTCAGTCGCAAAATTGAAGGCAAACAAATTGTGCAAGTGCAAGGCAGGGGTAGTCCGGGTAGGCCAATGATTCCTTGGGGTAGACCCAGAGCAAATTACTCGGAGTCGGAGAGCTTAAACAATTGGGGGACGTGGACAGATCAGAAGATAATAATTATAATGTAGGCCTAGTTTTTCTAAGACAGCATCTGACAAAAGGAATGAACTGAGAACAATAGTCACCGATGCCCGTTGCAGACCTGCCCCTTAAGCTTAGGGGCCTAATATAATAATATTGGCCCCAACACACACACACACACACACACATGATTCACAAACACACACACGCGCGCGCCGCGCGCGCGCACACACTCAGACATTGCATAGTTATATATGCCGACCGTGAACAGTTTTAAAAAGATATGCCATATTTGTAGGACATTATTTTGAAAAACAGTTTCAAAGTTTTCTGTTTTTAACTACACGGCTCTTGGTAAGTTGGATACTGGCTTAGACCTATGAAAACATGTAATAGTATTTATTACAAAAGCAGGACAAATTAAAAATTGCTTTGATTTAGTTGACTGAAATATTTCAATACAAAATTTTTCTAGACTAGAATCTGGATCTAGATTCTAGATCTAGATCTAGATCTAGATCTAGAATATATATCTAGATCTAGATCTAGAATATAGATCTATATATCTATATCTAGATTCTAGATCTAGATCTATATCTAGATCTAGTTAAAAATGTGTTCCATTGTGAAACAGAAAATCAAAAACAAATTTGGGCAGAATGTTGGATCTTCGGATATTCTGCATTTTACAGTAGGCTACTCAGATCTATAATTATTTTATACATGTATTATGGGATTATAAGAACATGATAATTCAAGTACGACAACTATTCTCCAGTGGTGTCACCTTTGGGTGTCACAGAATTCTACACTTAGGAGAATTCTGTGAGTCGTGAGTGGTGTTGACTGGGTCACAGAATAGGCCTGGGCAGAAACCGAATAAATTATTCGAATAACCGAATACGAGCCCAAAACTAGGTCTCCGGTTAATTTTTCCAAAAACTAGGTACCTA